TGTCTGTAAGTAAACCTGTGCTGCATTCAGAATTAACAATATAATTATAACAACATGACTAGTAATATCAAGAGCGATATCTGATGTAACTTCATCGCTGGTTGAAGTAGTTACGTTTTTAGCATAATTAATCAAATAACCGGTCGCTGATATGCCATCACAAAAAATTAGCACAGTTATGCCCATTACAGTTAAAAGAAGCAATATTTCACTTCTGTTAAGCGATTTAACAATGATTTTCTGTTGGTATTTATTTAGGTATTTCTTTCCAAGTCCTGTAACTATTGTCATTAAAGTGTTGTACGTCAAGAGAATGAATAGTTGTATGTTCTTGTGAACATCTCGTTGGAACAATGTAAATACCTGTAATATACTCACTACAAATACTGATAGTCCTAAGAGCAATAAAAATAGTGATAGGGAGGCCCACAAGCAGCTATTCACTCTGGATGAAAATTGTACGTAGCATGCAGTTTGGTCAAGTCTCTCCGCTGTGTTAATGTTTCCCTCAGCCTGTCTCCTATCTATGTTACGAATGATTGTGTCCCCATAGTCTACGGTAGTATCACTTGTACTGACTCTCGTTGAATACAAGCTAGACCAGTAATGTAGGAGAATACTTATAGCTAACAAATGATATTCTTTGGAAAATGGTTGAAAGATACTCAAGAAAACATGTAGGCCTATAGGGGGATCTGCCAATATTTGCTTGTAGCACAAGACAATGTCATCATTAATATTGGATTTGTTTGCTGACTGTAAATTGATCAGTGGCCAATCCATTTCCTGATATTCACCTTCATTTCCAAGTGCCATAGATGCTTCCTCTGCGACGCCTTTCATCCAAGCAAGTATGTTTGCAGATATAGTTATAATAAAAGCATATTGGAACCAGGAGCAGTTCTTAAATGATGCACATCTGAAGACTGTAAAAAACGTCATCTGAGTACAGGTGAACATTATTTGCAAACAGTTTGATGTACTAAACACAATTTCCCTGTATTTGTATACATTTCTTATCAGCACATGGAAACACTCTCTAATTACTCTGATGTAAGCAATTGAAAGTGCAATGTTGCAAAATCCAAAAATGTAAACACCAATAATGGGTTCATCAGAAGTTTGGTGGCTTACTTCGATTGATGAGTTTGATGAAAGTAGTGGTTGACGTTCATCGTTAATTTCTAGAGTGGGTGGTTCTTGAGGGTTTCGAATTAAATCCAACCATTTCCAACACTTGTTCTTTCGCACGACATGTATCATGATGAATATGGATATGAAAAAAATTACAATACAGTTCCAATCCACGGTGTCTTCATGTACAAACTTATGTCCACTACTGTAAAAAACAATAAATATAGTAGCATAAAAGGAAATAATGCCAAGCAATACTACCAAAGAGGAAACACGACCGTCGTGGACATAATCACTTCCCTGTTTTCGTGAAAATAACTGTGATGAATTCATATCAGTTCTAGCTGGGTCTGCAATCAAATCCTCAATGAATTCATTTGTTGATGCTAAAGACATCGATTTTTTTGATAGAAAAATGATCATTCAATACCCATTGCCGCGCCGTTTGCCTATATGATTGTATTCTGCTGTTGAAATGTGTCTCTAAATGTACGTAGTCATAATTCAACATGTTATTCATGAAATTCAATACTCTGTGCTGTTCAGCTAGCATTCTCAAACACAGAACAAAATGAATATCTTGACATGGGCCTGCAATGACAAATTTGGTCCGGTGCCAAAATCGGTCCGTGGCTATTTTTATCTAGCCAATTAGAGTAGACATATGCCTTTCAGTGGGAAAAAAAAATGCAAAGGGAAGAGGAAGGGCAGCTATTACACTACAGCACTGTAATCTGATTGACAGATAGACTTTTTTTACAAAAAAATTATTAATTATTAAGAAGTTGTATTTTAATTTTTCTTTGTAAATATTAATTGATGATTTGTGTTCGATAACTAATATAATGCGAGCTTTTTGTGTTTTTAGTAGATTTTGATGGTAAATAATTAGGTTTTAAAATGCCTATTCCAGAAAGCCTATTCTAAATGTCACAGCCTAACGTTCAACGTTGTAAGAACATTCAAACGTTGTAAAATTAGGTTAAACGTATGTACATATGGTTCTACAAAATAACGTTATCACCATCTCACTGCGCCACACTACCAACACCAGAAATATTTAAAATAATATATTCAATATGTCACCAGCAGGGCTCTATGCAATTCAATTTAAGTAGATCCACCTTTGATACAGGGGCATCCATAAAAAAACATACAAAAATAAAATACGTATAGAAAAGGAAAATTTACTTAAAATTAAGTAGTAGTAAGACTGAATACTATGAGGTACTGTAGAATTACCAAGAATATAAACTACTTTTAACAAAGAAACTGCTTTTAACATATACATACAGTATATATCTGTGGACTTTAGAAAGACAAAAAAATATAAGTTATGGCCTTTTCATATTCCTAAATGTTTATGCTAAACCAAACGAGCCTCTTTGCTTTAAAAGTCAAATAATAATGTCTACTCGTATACTGTAAGTTTAGGGTGATGTATGCAAAATAGGCTTCAGATTGCACTAAATAAAACCTAGGGAGTGAAGTTGCTTTTGTTGTGAAAAAACAATCATGTGGTCACAGAAATTAAACGCATGACCCTGGGATTGGAAGGCAAGTATCTTAACCACCAAACTACTGAACTCCATTCCAAGCGCAGTAACCAAATAAAATTATCAAATGTACATTATTTCCTTAATATTATATTAATTTTATTGTTCTACGATTTTGAGTGTGTGCTATAACTATTCTTTGAGAAAACTCTACGGCAGCCTAAGTATTGTAGTGCAAGCGCTCTTTTTGTAAATAATAATCTTTCATTGTTTAAAAAATGTATGAGGAAGTCTATATATACTTTCTCGAAAAAGATTTTGAGAAGTAAAAACCATCTACCGTGTTATGTAATGAAGCCTTCCTTAAATAATCTTTGTTCAGAAAGTGGAGAGAACCTCTATTATTATAGGCCTATTTTTATTTTTCTTTGTAGTTATTAAATTATTTCTTTATAGAACATAAATACTGTACTTGATGCCTTTTCAATCAATCTTTGAAATGAGAATTGTTAAAAAAAATATGATAATGGAAACTGATTGAATAAAGTTTATTGTGAATCATCAAAACTTCTGTGAAAAAAATCAAAATTGTAGCTGACATAATAGATTTGCTTAGTTGTGGGATGTTAGTAAATAAACTTCTGACATCAAATGATACTGTTAAAGGTATATCAACACTATAATATAGTCTAAAAAAAAAAACAACGTATACTGGCCACACACTGGGGCTTAACAGTTCAAAAATCAATTTAAATATGTGCTATTAAAACAAAAAAGAAGACTGCTGGTCGCCATTTTACTTTTTTTCACTCCAAACAAAATAAAAACTATGAAACCAAAAAAAAATTTAAAAAAATAGCAAGGACAATTCCAACTATTATTAAACGAATATAGAGGAAGTTTAATTATATCTTTCAAAAAACCAAGAACAAGTCATTGTTTCGATAAGAAGTTCCGCTTTGGCCTGTTACCAAGGTAGGCCAACTGTGTTTTTAAAAAACATAAACGTTATTTCATAAATAAATTTCTATAATGGACAATAGAAGAGCTAGGCATTTCGAAGTGGCAATACTAATCTAACAATAAAGTGTTTTTGGTCGTCTCACATTTCTGGAGCATCAGAAATGCAGTTTTCTTCTTTCAATTTGTCTTAGAAATTTCTGAATAACAATCTAGTTGCTTATAAAAAAAAACACATATTTCACAAGGCAATTTTAACATCACCAACGTAAGACGTTTTTAAGTGTACTCGTTTTTTCCTTTTTACTCCACTGATATATTTTGATTTTTAAAATGAATAACATGATTCTAAATAAGGACATACTGACCAATAATATACAATATACCAAATATTATTCATTTTCGTCTAATCTGATACAATTCTATTGTGTGTTAATGATTTACTACATTGTTACGGTAAAAGTGGGAAAAAGATAACGTTGATTATAACAATTGCATTTCCCAAAAAAACATTGCTTTGTGACGAGTACACTCTGGCATCTGGGGCAATCAAAATGTCACTCGGCCAATGAGTTGCGTTGAACATCATCAAATAAACCAAATAGCGTCTTAAAACAACTGCAGCACCCACGTCTACGCTCCGAGTTCGACGCGTTCTCAGGATGAGAATTGTCTGAATGTTGTTTAGGCTCATGAGCCTAAACAATAGGGCGCTTTCGATTTGCGCTATGAAGCGAGGCTAGCTAGAAGGAACTCAGTCATATTCGTCACCGTCATCCTATGTTCTCTCCAGGCTTCTTATACCCCTGTTACACTACCATATACAGTATATTCCCGCAGTACAACACGTTCATAGTTCTGAAAAGAACTACTCTTTTGTTGAGAAATATTTGTCCCACCAAATTTATACTCAGTGGCTTTTGTTACTGTAACCCCTTGCATCACCACATCAGTTGCTCCTACTCTCATACACAGATACTGTCTTTATCCTGCCCACCTTTTTACCTTTGTCCCACAAACACCCTCTCCTCCACTTTGCCTTTTGTCTCCGCACACAGCACCACACCATCTGCAAACATTATCTCCCATGGTGCCTCACTCCCTTTGTCAGGCAGTCTATGATAATTGGAAAGAGCAGTGGGCTAAGTGCTAAACATAATTTATACTGTACTTTAACTATTTGTTATATGTTCACAGTGCTATACAGCAACTTCTGTTTTTCACCTGTGCACCCGCAATTCAATGTCCCCTTTAATTCGCTATCATTTAAGTACCAAATGACATTAATCAATATTTTAATCTAATCGAATTGAAGGTTCGAATTAAACATTGGAAGGTGCTTGGATCACTACGCCCAAGTGGTTATGACATTTGTCATTTACCAACAGGATAAAATGTGAAGACAAGTAGTTTTTATCAAATTTTGTTCTTGCAAACTGCATTTTATTTATTCAATCCAACAGCAAAAAGCCAATTACAGGATGCCTCAAATATATTATATAAAAATATTAAAAATACTGTACTTTTACTGTAATTGAGTAGTCTATTAAAAGAAATCAAAGTTAACAAAACAGAAAAAGGAAGAGCTGAGAGGCGGGGGAGGTGGGTGTGAAAGAAGGAAAGGTAAACAGGTTTTTACCTGAACATAATTACATAATGGTTGACTAAACAAGTGTATTTGATTTATAAGTTACAACCCATTCAACAATTCTAGTCCACTTTGTGAAAGCCCTGCCAATAAATGTTACAGCTACTTAGTTATAAATGCTATAGTTAATGTTATGTTAATGTTAGGTTATGTTAAAAGTGCTGTTGTCATTTCATAATAACAATTCTAGTGAAGATATTAGATCTTAAAATGCTACAAGAGCATTCTTTAAATCCATCAACTCAGTGAATGAAAACACCAACTGTCCTCAACTGTTTGGACTTCAACTTCCAATACAGTCTACTATTCCTGCGCTATTCAATCCATTGAAGAAAAAAAAATTGTTATGCGGTACATCTCGGCACGACACAGCCTGAAACAAGTGAAATAATTCAATTTTCATTTTAGATGTGATGTTATATTACTACATCCTAGCTTATGAAAAACATCAATGTGTACATATCTAAAGGTGGTTATGATGATTATGATATTAAAATAAATTTAATAATATTAATATATATTAATATATATTAATATGTAGCTTGTCATGCTAAAATCAACATCAGTGACCAAAACAAAAAAAATTATAAGCTTTAAAATACTACTATTGCCAAAGTTATGAGTAAAAGTATTACAGGTTCTCTGTACTAAAGTATACAATACTGTCACATTCTAATGCTAATTACTCAGTTTAACATTTAGCAACAGTATGCTGGTTTTGGAATAGCAACCCTCATATATCAAATAATAAATGTTGGAAACTAATTAACATGTTTCGACGTGTCGCACGTAATCATCAGGCAATAATGCTTATGCCACTACCAATTCATATACTACCGGACAGATGTATGATTAACAAGCAAGTACTAAGGCAAGTCATGTATATAAAGGTCATGAATACTATGGTAAGTCATGAATATAGCAATCAAAATAAAAGAGTGATAATGCAATGAGTTGTTTGTTCGTTCAGTGATGAAGTTCCCCCATCTGCCTGGTAGAATATAAATTTTTAATAGTATAAGCATTATTGCCTGAGGATGACAGGTCCAAACATGCCGTTAATTAGTTTCATTTATTTGATTTGATGCATAATGTACTAATGATGATGTATAGAATCATACCTTGATAATTTCTTGACCCATGACCCCACCAACAATGGCACAGATTGGGCTAAGCTCAGCAGCACAATGACTGAATATACAAAAAAGATAAAAGAATTTGATAAATTAATTAAATTTTTATCACATCCATAGATAGACCTCTATGTTATATTATAGTCTGCCATACGAAACAGTACTGTATACGAAACAGTACTGTATACACAAAAGACAGTAGCAAAAGTGCAACAAGTTTTGTATTATTTGTAGTTATTTTGACATTGTTCAGTTCTAATGACATTTTATGTCTGAAAACTACATAGAATAAATAAAAGCTTAAAATACAAAAATTTGTTTTTTATAAAAAATTATTTGTGTTATTATTTTGCAGCAGCATTATAATATTTTATAGTTGTTTAGATTAAAGGTTAATGGTTCTAAATTTATAAAGTGAAAAATACAGATGTCTCTATGCACTGTAAAAACAAGTGTAGACATGTTTGGAAAAGTGAAATAATAAAAAAAAAGATTAAATCATTCATTCATTCAATCATTCATTAATTGGTTTTTCTCATTTAATTTATACACTTCTTATCTCACTAATATGTTTGGGATATGTATTTGTGGCAAACAAGTCACTTGTCACAAATCCTGTTTAATGGCCAAAACAGGCTGGAAATGTCAATTTTTTTAAATCTATTTTATTATGCTAAACTAAACTTTATATCATGCTATGCTGTTATTTTCTCCATTTTCAATGGTAAAACTATACATTTCAATGATTTGGTGATGGTTTCTGCTTGAGAAATGCCCAAAATCATAAAGTTTGAAGGCTGATTTCTCAAATATTGTTCTTTAAACAACTGTATGTTTAAACTCCTGTAACTTCATAATGAAATGTTGGATTTAAATGATTCTTTTTCAATTTTATAGCTCTCATTTTACTAGGTGTAACCCTGTATTAATAACTAAAATCAATTTTTGCAACAAATGACTGTTTTGGCTTGTATTTGCCACAGTTATAGGTTTTTTTTTCATTCATCTTTTTATTTTCAAGTAAGTATTTATTTCTCGCCCACTTACCCACTGAAGTTGTCATCAACAGGATCAGACTTGACTTTTAGCATATCCAGGACTTCGTCCCGTAACCGATGCAATTCAGTTCGGTCATTTTCAAGGTTGCTTGGTTGTGGATCTCTTCCAAATTTATCACGGAACATTAGTAGAACTTTTCAGAAAAGATGAAACAATCTTAACATTTTTCAAGCGTAAACATTTTTTACTGCGAGAGCTAGGCCAAAGAGGTGAGCTTGCTTGATGGAAGCACTACGCATGCCTATCACTAAGCAGATTTCCATGGAAATTCTATGATCAGTACTGACAGACTGATCATAGAAAAAGAAAATAATTTATTGATAGCTTTATAACTGATTTATAGAATTTAATTATTCAATATCAAAACAGAAATTAGGCCTACGCCGGAACTACAATTGTCAAGTGCATAAAAAAATGATGATAAATAATAACGAATATAATAATAAAATGTCAACATGATTACTTCATGGAATAAATACTATTTAGCTTTTAAACTCACTTTGCATTATGAAGTATACATCTGATGCTCTTTTCAATGCTTTTGTGTACTTCTCTGTCGACCAATCGACTTCTAGGGCATCTTTAAAGCGACAATAAGAAAACGTCTTCTTTGTAACAACTGTTTCTGTATCGTCAGCTGTTAGTCGCTTAACACCTTTAGAGTCTTCTTTTTCAACCATTTTTGGTTTTTCTCTAAAAATTGAAACAAAGTTAAAAAACATATTTATGTTATTACAACTATATTTTGTATGTTTCATATTACAGGAACATTTATTAATCATTTAATGTATCTTTAATAATCAATTAAATCATCATGTCTAGTGCTTCTTTTATTTGCTTTTCAATGTGTCTACTTTGTAAATGTGAGAAAGTAGAAGCTGTTTCCCATCAACCATCTTGGATTTGCCAACTCGGAGTAAAAAAAGAGTGCCCTCATTTTCCTGTTTTCAAAATATTAGAACGAGAAACTACTTTTTTTTTTTACTTGACTTTAGGTACTAAAATAAATTTGAAAAAAAATTCTTACTCAACAAATTCATGTTCATTTAAGTCGGCAAACATGTAGCCGTAGAAACCGAAGACATCACCAGCGAAAAACTTGACATCTTTATCATGGCAGATGTTATTAAGTCTGAAGATGGTAGCACGAGGGCAGCATGTAGCACAGACGACATCAAATTGCTCGAAGAAGTTGTCTGGCTTTTGGTCAGGACTATCAGTATCTGCAGTGACCATTACATTTGGGTTCAGCTCCTGTGTTCTCTCTACTGATGCTTCTGCCCTCTATAGGGAAAACAGATACATGTAATAAATAATAATAATAATAATAATAATAATAATATTAGACATTTACTCAGGATCCCATATTAAGATTTTTCTTAGTGGTCAGCAGGGCAAGTAGGCATCATTGTACTTGCCCTTAATAAGTTTAACTTGCCCTTAATAAGTTTAACTTGCCCCTAACATTCCTTTTTTTTGAAAATTGTGGAGTTCATCATGTACAGTACAGTGCATATATGTAATTTGTTTTAAAGTATGTATTGTTCTGTATAACACTACAAACAAGTAGCAATATATTATTTTGAACATCAAATTATCCTTCAAACATGCTCCTTTTCAGTATTTAGTATATATATATATATATTTTTCCTTTGTAAAAAACATTTTACATAGAAATACAAGTGCAAGAATCTGCTCATACAGTAAATAACTGTAAATAACAGAAATATATAACAACAAGCAACTATGTAACAATATCATCAGGTAATAGACTATCCCCTGCCGAACAAAACTGAATATTAGGCTTAACTAATGTAATTAACTAATGTAAAATACTATTGTTAAAAAAAAAAAAACTACTGTAAAATTACCCCCCGCCGGACACCAACCATGTATTTCAAGGTTTCGGGGTAAAGTAAAAAAAAAAACCTATCATGTCATAGACCGTTGACTACTCTGATTGCAGATGGACAAAGGATGATCTACTGTAGTTGTTGTGGCAGATGGATCTGAACTGTTGGCTGGCTTTGTGACATTAAACTGAAGTTACTTTTACCAGTATGATATGGGTCACTCATGATTGATTGCACCTTCTAAATATTTACAACAATTCTCTTCGTCAGGATTAATGTTAACAATGGCCTTCTCTTCCTTAATACAGTATTTAGTACATGTTTCTTTAAAGTAAGAATAATGGTTGTCACACAGACAATTTTTAATATTGTACTCTCCCTATATACAGTAATTTAGATCATCTCTTGGGTGATGAGACAACTGTAAATATAGGACCCTGTTTACTGTTCTCCCATTAGACTGAGATGTATTTTTGTTTTTGTATTCCTAATGTTTGTTTGTTTCTTTGTAATATGTCTTGCTATGCCATAACACAAAATTAACAGTACAGTATATTTAAAAAAATATGTTGCCATTTAATGTGTGACCCAAATTGACATTAATAAAAAAAATTACAGTCTAGGAATTTCAAACATGCCATCCTTGTTGGCTGCTGGAAAAATTTAGTGTTGGCAGAAATACTTACATTTCTACCAATGTCTTCTCTGGATGAGATAAGAAAGTTGGAGCAGAAATCTTCTTCTGTAACATTGTTATGATCCATTAGTGTTATTGATTTAATACCAGAGAGAACAATGTTCTTGCAAACTTCAGCACCAAGGCCCTTCAAACCAATAAACAGAACCGAAGAGGCTCGCAATCTATCAAAGACCAATCATAAATCAATCAAATATAAATAATAGTTCTTCCTGTAATTAAAGACCCCTCCAATTAAAGACCACCTCCAATTACAGATCACTTGTTTGTGGTCCTCAATTTGCAAATGTCTTTTATCATTACTCTTTTAAATTAGAGACCAAAGCTGCAAAAGACCATGGAAACCCTGGTCCCAAAAGTGGTCTTTAATTGGAGGGAGACCTGTATCTTACAGTAAAATATTTTATAAAGTGTCATTTGAGCTGAGGTACAGTACATACACTTTTGGCATTAACTGGTCATGGAGGTACAACCCTGGGTGGACAGAAGGTCATTATTTATGGAATGAAAGAAAATCAGGTAGCTGTAAACAACTTTAAGGACAATCTCCATCCTCCATTGTGGTGCATGAATGAACTCTTTCATGACCATTCATTGAATGATAGCATTCTGTAATCCTGGTTCATGAAACAAGTATTGCAGTACTAGGCCTATATAGAGTGGCCTAGCCTACCTACAGTAGGTACGACATGGAGGAATTCCTCCATGGGTACAGTAAATAACTCCAGTAGTTTTCCAGTAGTACATTTTGTTAGAAATCGTGTATGAGAAAACATTTACTAAAAAAATAGAATAGGCCCTATGCCAGTTTACAAAACAAGACCTTATTATGTTCTTGAAAGAACGTATGGCGAAATGCTTTATTATTAAGATTGATTGTTTTACGAAGTAGTTTTAATA